TAATAATAATAATAATAATAATAATAATAATAATAATGATAATGATGATAATGATACATAACTATATACATATACATATATATGTTTTCTGAGGTATATATATATTTTCATATATATTATTGGTACTTGGCAATAACGCATTACCAACACTGATTGGATTACATATACAGTGCTTATACGCATGTATATATATTTATATTAATAATTATAACAATAATAATATTGTAGAACTTACATATCTAAATTCCAAAAGGGGGCGCGGGCCAGCTGAAAGGACACCTGGCCTTTGTTGTAGGCCGAAACCTTGGCGAGCCAACCGCCTTAAATTGGAGCTAGAGTCCTTTCTTCTATAATGGCAGATGACAATTCCACTAGAGGCTCTTCTTTGAAGGCCAGATCTAAGTCCTACCACCTGCGCAGACAGGCTAAGGAAGCCCCTAAGGAAACTTCCAAGGCTTCTCAGAGAGACGCCCTAAGGCGTCATAGGGCACTGGAGAAAGAATTTGACAGGCGATCTAGAAAGGCACAACCAGTGCCCCCAGCCCTCCCACCCTCCATTCCTTCTACGTCCAGACACCCCCCCTCCCCCAGATTGTTCTTCCCTCTCCAGGCGCAGCTTATCCCTGGGACGCCAGGTCCCCGAATCAACAGCCAGACGGCCGAAGTACTTTCACGCCCACGGCCGCTGGTCTGCGCCAGGAGGAGGCCGCCACTGTCGAGATTTCTGCGCTCATGCAGGCATGGATGGAACGGGCTATCCGCCAGGGGATAGCAGAGGGCATTCAACAGATGTACAGGTCCGGTCCCCCCTCGATGGCGCCCGAACACGACTCGCCATCAGTCAGGTCCTCGCCTAGATTGGACCCTACCCATGGTCAGGTACCTCTATGGGGGGACAGCCCCCTCCCAGAAGGGGAAATGGAGGAGGCTATAGAGGACCTGGATAGGTTCGGGGAGGAGGAGGATCTTGAATGGGGGTCTACACAAGGGGAACCCCTATCGGAGATAGGCCCGATAGAAGGAGACATGTCCGAGGACGAGGGCCTCACTCCCGATCAACCCACCTTCTGGGTTTGTTCAAGCCACACATGCTTAATCACTACTCTTTAAGGCCAAGAACATTTCTGGCCTGTCGGTTCAGTCCTCTCTGGCTCTCCCCGCCCCGGCAGAGGGACAAGAGGATGCCATTTTTAGGCAGCCCGTGGTGGAGGCGAAGGTTATTCCGGCCCCACCCATATTCCACGACCTAGTTTCAGACCAATTGGACTCTACAAGAGCTTCCCCTGCCCCATCCAGCCAGGACAAGAGGTTCTTTAACCTCGAGCTGAGCTTTTGCAACTTGCTTAACACTCCCGAGGTAGACAAGCCCTTCGTTGGTTCAGTATCCTCGTCCTCTTCCAGTGACCCCCTGGAAGCCCGAAACCCGAGGACAAAAGGTCCGAACTGGCCTTACGTAGGACTCATCAGGCCGACACCTGGGCCATTAGATCGGCCATGGCCGCTTCCCTTTCACCAGGTCCTCGATCCGGTGGCTCCGCCAAGTGAAACAGCATGTTCCCCCCTCTAACACAAGGGCACATCAGGAAATCGCAAAGTTGACGGCCGCAGCAGAATTCTCGGCCGACGCCACCTACCATGCGGTGAAGTCCTCCGCCAGAGCAATATCCTCTCACGTTACAGCTCGCCGCCTGCTCTGGCTCAAGCACTGGCAGGCGGACATAAAAAACAAGGTTAAGCTGGCCACTGCCCCCATTAAGAGGGACAGACTCTTTGGTGCCGCCCTGGAGCCATTGCTATCCGAACCCCGAAGTAAGAAAAAATTTCTTCCCCCCCCTTTTCGGAGGTCAGAGTCAAGAGCCCCCCAGCCCTTTCGGAGAGGTCCCTCCCGACCCTTCTACCAGTCATCTTTCCAGCCCAGGTATCCGAGACTCCCCTCCTTCCGGCCATTCCAGCCCCAGGATCGAGCCGATCCAGGTGACAGGAACAGGAGGGGCGGCAGCTACAGACGTCCCTTCAGGGGCTCCGGAGGGTAGCCCTTCCGGCGCACCAGATAGACCTCGTCCCTCCCTTCCCATCGGCGGACGCCTCAAGCATTTCGCTGACCGATGGGATTCCTCCACTTCCGATGCCGGGATCCGGGACTCCATCAGACCTGGTCTCGCGCTTGAATTCCAGCGCACCCCCCCTGACTTCTTTATGGCATCCCCCCTTCGAGGGACCCCACTAAACGCAACTTAATGGATTCAGCCATTCAGCATCTCTTTAGCATACAGGCCATACAACCCGTCCCACCATCCCAGCGGGGGCAGGGGTTTCACTCTCACCTCTTCGTGGTCCCCAAATCCTCAGGGGGATGGAGGGCTATTCTAGACCTGAAACGCCTCAACCGTTACCTGATTTACCGCAGTTTTAAGATGCACACCCTGCAGTCCATTCTCCTGGGCATCAGACAGGGGGATTGGCTAGCCTCTATAGACCTTCAGAGGCGTATCTCCACATTCCAATCCGGCCCTCCCATTCCATATTCCTCAGATTCTGCTACAACCACCACCACTTCCAATATGTGGCCATTCCCTTTGGGATGGCCTCTAACCCGAGGACCTTCACTAGGGTCCTCGCGGCTCTGGCGGCCCACCTCAGGAACCTTCCGGTTTGTCTCCATTGTTACCTGGATGACATCCTCATCCTGTCCCACTCCAGACTCCAAGCAGAGAAGGATGTCAGAGCTACCCTCTCTGCCCTCCAAGACCATAGGTTTCCGGTAACTGGAAAAAGAGCCAACTGTTACCTTCTACACGGATCACCCACTTGGGGGCCGTCATTGACTCAGTTCGGGGAAAGGTTTCCCTTCCTCGGAAAGATTCCTTAGCATTCAGGAAACCATCACACACATCAGACGTTCAATAAGGGTAACACTTTTGGATCTGTCTAAGCTACTAGGTAAAATGGTCTCATGTATTTCCATCGTTCCCTGGGCCCGGTTACACACCAGGTCCCTACAGTGGTTCCTGCTTCCGTTCCAACGGTCCGGCAGTAGCAATTCAAAGGCCACGGTCAAGGTACCTTCAAAGGTCCTCACGTCTCTCCTCTGGTGGACCAGTCCCGCCATCAACAAGGACATGGCCTCAAGAAGCCCCAACGCCTCACCCTCACCACAGATGCCAGCCTGTCCAGAGGGGGCGCTCACATCCACTCGCTTTCGACACAGGGCAGATGGTCTCAGGTAGAACGGGCATGCAGTATAAACTGGTTGGAACTCCGCGCCATCCACCTGGGCCTACGCCACTTCCTCCCTCAGGTACGTGGGCGGCATGTCCTTATACTTACGGACAACATCACCGCCAAGGCCCTTGTCAACCGACAAGGGGGCACCCAGTCCATCCGTTTGATGAGAGAGGCCGAGCGCCTCTGCCGTTGGGCGGAGCGCAATCTCCTCTCTCTCAAAGCCGAGCACATCTCAGGGGACTTAAACACCCAAGCAGACTGGTTGAGCAGGACCACGGGGGACCAGTCCGAGTGGCACCTCCACCCGTCACTGTTCAGGGAGGCGACCGGGCTGTTCGGCCTCCCGTCAGTGGACCTCCTCGCATCCCCCCTCAACACTCAACTCCCCAGGTTTTTCTCGAGGTACCCCTCCCACGGGGCCGAGAACTACAATGCCCTCCGTTGCCCCTGGCCCACAGGGCTTCTATATGCTCTCCCTCCCATATCCCTGGTACTCAGGGTCTTCCAGAAGCTCATCTCCGAGACAGCAGAACTGATTCTGGTGGCACTCTACTGGCCCAGGCGCCCATGGTTCGCGGACCTCCGCAACCTATCGATGGCCCCTCCCTGGGAAATTCCTCCGAACAGGATTCCTTTCTCAGGGTCCCCTCCAGCACCCGGACCCGCAGTGGCTCCAGCGAGCTGTTTGGAGGTTGAGCGGGAGCGTTTAAGAAAGGAGCAGTTTCGGACTAGGTTATTGATACCATCCTAGCCGCCAGGCGACCCTCCACAGCCCGAATCTTTAATGCCACTTGGAATAGTTTCTGCAAGTGGTGCCAGGGTTTCCAGGTCAACCCACTTTCACCATCCATAGCTCAAGTGTTGGAATTCCTCCAGAGGGTCTGAGGAAAGGTCTTTCTCCGAACACCCTGAGGCGTCAGGTCGCAGCCTCTTTCAACCGTCATTGCTTGTGGCAATCTGGGGTCCCTTTCCCTCCACCCTCGCATTAGGGCATTCCTCAGGGGAGCCACTACCTGTGTTCCCATCAGTTCACAGATACCCCACTTGGGACCTCAATAAGGTCCTTGTGGCCCTTACCAAACACCCCTTTGAGCCGCTCAGGGAATCCACTCTCCAGTTCCTAACATTCAAGGTTGTGTTTCTGGTGGCCATAACTTCGGCTCGCCGAATATCAGAGATAGCGGCCTTGTCGGTGAGGAAGGACCTTTGCATCTTCCATGCCGACCGGGTAGTTCTCCGGCCGGATCCTACCTTCTTGCCCAAGGTCAACTCAGCCTTCCACAGGGCACAGGAACTCACACTTCCGAACTTCTGCCCCAATCCCTCGCGGGAAAGGGAGAAGCCTTGGCATACCCTAGACGTAAGACGGGCCCTCTACATTTACATTAAACGTACCCAGCCCTTCAGGAGATCCGAATCCCTATTCCTTTCCTTTCAGCCCAAATCGTTAGGCCACAAAGTGTCCCCGTCAACCATCGGCCGCTGGATTAGAGCTACTATTTCCCAAGCTTACCTGTCCCAGGCCCTGCCCATTCCCAGCGGAATAACGGCACACTCCACCAGAAGTGCTGCTACCTCGGCTACTTGGGCCACCCAGGTTCCAATTGCTGACGTTTGTCGGGCGGCCACTTGGGCCTCCCCATCTCCCTTTATTAGATATTATAAGATCGACATATTTGCTTCGGCGGAGGCTTCGTTTGATAGACGAGTCCTCCAGCGAGTCCTCACAGAACCGCAGAGATTGCAGGACCAGACGGACTCCCTCCCGTAGGACAGCCAAGCTTTGGTATGTCCCACTCTCTGGATGATCCGAACGGCTCCCAGGAGAATGGGCGTTGGTTCTTACCTGACACGCCATTTCTCTGGAGCCGTGAGGATCATCCAGCCCCACCCTTATTAAGTTTTCCGTCTGGTGGGGTCTTGTTTCGGCCAATAAACCCTTTAGCATAGTAAGATGAGAGCAAGATCTTCTCTTCACTCTCGACTTCGCGTAAACTGGGGATTGCAAGGCAACCACGTGGTGAAGGGCGGAGCAATCCTCAGTAATTAAGCTCAGCCTACAACGACGCAGACTGAAGCACCTCCCACTCTCTGGATGATCCTCACGGCTCCAGAGAAATGGCGTGTCAGGTAAGAACCAACGCCCAATCTCTTCATTACCTGTCTGCATCCCTAGAGCCTCAGGGATTTGTCATAGACCCAGTTACAGTAGGGGATCAGGGGGTTCTAGAACCATTGAGCAGCAGTTCCTTAGCTGAATTACCCTACCCTTTAGTTTGCTTGCAGTCGGATCCGGCTCCAAGATTGCGTGGTTAGATTCTACAACGTTACTCCGGCTACAGTAGACCCCTGTTACCTCCGTGGTCTCAATTATACCTTGGCATCAGACACAACACCCTGCCAAGGGAAGGATGATCTGACCTGCAGTTTCCCTGAGGTATGTGCATCAGAGAAGGCTTCGGTGTGGAAAATGGGGTTTGGGTAGGGCACAAGGGAGGACGTCAAGCTTTGTGTGCAGCGACGTGGAGCATTTCTTTCTGAGGGTTGTCTCCTTCCTCCTTCACTCCATGTTGCCCTCCCGGAAGTTCGTTGATAGGTGGACTAGCCTCTCTTGGCCATGAAGGTTGCTTGAGTTTGGAATGGGGAAATGTGTTGGTGGAAGCAGGAGGGAGAATAAGAGATAAGAGGCCTGCTGGATGGGAGATCTGAACTGTTGCTAAACGGTAAAAGTCGGCCTCCATCATTTGGCTGGCTGTGCTGGAATCAGAGAGCCAATTCCCCCCCCCCCCCGCCTACTGGGATGCTTATTAACCTCCTGCCTCTGATACTGAAGGAGGAGACTTATAACATCCATTGTGATTAGTTGTTATCACGTCTCATTTCAGGGGAGAAAACAGGGTTGGGAACGCTTTGAAGGAGCAATTGTGGGACTTCTGGGAACACATCTGGGTTTGTCCTTACAAATCTCTATCCTTTCTTCCTTTTAGTACTTCACTTACTCAGTGTTGCTGAGTTTGCTGGCCTCTTCCGTCTTCCTGCACATCAGTAGCCTTAGGAAGCTGGCGCTGCTGGTGACGATGGAGGTGGTGTACCTGATACTGGCTGAGGGCCCACAGGGTGTCCTGTTTGACAACTATGACTTGCTGGTGGCCACTAATGCTCTGTAAGAACCTCTCTCTCTCTCCCCAGGGGTGGGAAGAATCTCAGTCTTTAGTCATGCCTCAAACACCTCTCAAGATTTTGGGGTGGGTGTGGTGGTTCCCTATAATTCTTCTATACAGATAGTCCTTGAGTTGTGACAGCGATTGGGGTTGGAATTTCTGTTGCTAAGTAATGCAGTTGTAAAGTACTGTACAATGCCATGGGCTCACATCACTTAACGACAGCAATCCCCGCATTCCCTATTGCCATCATTTAGTGAAGATTGCAGGTCATTAAGCAAGCACCACCTTGCAACTTTCTGCCAGCTTCCAGAGCCAAAGCAAGTCCCAATTGGTTGGCAAGCAGGCAGGGAAATGGCTCATGGTGTGGGAGAAGGTGTCAGAACACTGGAATTGTCCAGTGTAAATGCAGTGCAACCAGAGTTGGGCTGTTCCGGGATGTGTGAGGTGGTGCAAGTTTTAGAGGAGGCATGGTGCAAGCACAGTGGGGCTTGGATGGTTGCTGTTGGGTGGGGAAAGGTGCAGAATTGGCCAGAGAAGGCTGGCCAGGCCTGGATTTACCCAAGCAACACGTGACCTTCCTTGCCAGCATCCCCACTGACTTTGCTTGTGGGTAACCAGCAAGGAAGGTTGCAAATTGCAATCATGTGATTGCAGGATAATACAACTGTCGTGTGAGCTGATTGCCAAAGATCACGATCACATGGCTTCAGGGGTTCTGGAAAGGCCAGAACTTTGAAGACTGGTCATAACCATCACTCATTCAGTGGATTTCTAATTTTGCATGGTTTCTGAACAAGTGGTTGTTAACAAGGACCACCTCTTCCATTATTAGATTTGACATCTCCTTGAATCTAGTATTAGAAATTATTACAAAAGTGTTAATACTAGTTGTAATGATAATATAGTACCATCTTTTCAATCAATCAGAATAGAGTTGGAAGGGACCTTGGAGGTCTTCTAGTCTAACCCCCTGCTTGAGCAGGAAACCCTATACCATTTGAGATAGGTGGCTATCTAGTCTTTTCTTAAAGACCTCCAGTGATGAAGCACCCACAACTTCTGAAGGCAAGCTGTCCTACTGGTTAATTGTCCTCCCTGTTAGGAAGTTTCTCCTTAATTCCAGGTTGCTTCTCTCCTGGATTAGTTCCCATCCATTGTTTCTTGCTCTACTCTCTGGTGCTTTGGAAAATAAATTGACCCCCTCCTCTTTGTGGTAGCCTTTCAAATACTGGAATATTGCTATCATGTCCCGTCCCCCCCCCCCCCCCCAGTCCTTTTATCAGTATGTTCTCAAATGCAAGGAAACACTCTCATTTTTTTAAAAAAATTCACCTGATGTTCCTTAAGAGCATTGTATTGGCAATGAATAGCACTTCTTGATTGGCCAGGCAGGCAGCAGTAGGTGGACTGTGGGTGGAGCAATCCATCAGTCATTCAGTGTTAAGGGCTGTGTTTTGTGGCTGCCAAAATTCTGCCAGTGAGTTCTTCAAGTGCTCCCTACTT